GTTTTTGCCTAATCAGCTCTGTATTGAGCCTGTCTATACCTGTTTCCACAGGTTGGGGTGTCATCCTTCCATGAAAAAGCCATTCACTTTCTATGTGCCGATCAACAGTGGGCATGCAAAATCTGGGAGAACTTCTCTTCAGCGAGCCCTGATCTTAGACTCACATTGGTTGCATGGGTCCTGGATGGGCAGAGTTTGCGGCAGACTGGCTTGAAAGAAGTGGTCCAGAGGGTGCTGCAGGTAAAACGTGATTTGTTCCCTACACTTGAGGCAACACAAAGAAAGCAGACTTTCCCAAAACCAGCCGAGCAGCTTTTTTTTTGTAACGACCTTCTTATAATACAATGAGAGGAAACCTTGGAGCCAAAGATAATCTTAAATATAATGCCAGCCGAGGTTGACAGCTGGCAAAAGAAAGGGTGTGCCCGTACACTATTATAATTTGGAAAAAGGGCGACTCTAGCACAGTCGTGCTGAGGATATATTCCCTTTATATCACTTGTGTGTTATGTTATCGCTAAATCAACCAACTGCATTGTTTCCTGCCAGTGTTACTCACCCATTTTAAAAAAGATCCGATAAGATCCTGAATACCTGCAGACAGTGGGAAAGATGATTCTTTTGTGGTTTGGTGTTTATTTTCCAGCAGTTTTTTTTTTTTTTACCTGTTTATCTGATTTAGTAACAATGCATAAGCACTGCTTTCAGTAAACTGAAAATAAAGAGAAATTATCTGTTAAAAGACAAAAAAGAACCTGAACGTCTTACAATCAAATCCACTTCCAGGCAAATTTAAGGGAGGCGTTGTTGAGCCGCAGTGTGGAGTATTGCAGGAGCTACCTCGCAGCCCTGGTGGCAGTGATGGCCAGAGGTGATACCGCTTCATCCCAGCGTGTTGTGCTCTTGGCCCCACTGGAAGAGCCAGTTCTGCTTGAGTGTCTGGATTTGCTGCTTAGGGACCTGGAGGACCAGAGAGGCGGGCCAGAGTTTCTATCCCAGGCTTTCTCTGCTGCTAGCCTGCTGCTGTCCCATTGGCCACAATCCAGGTTTTTACACACTTTATTGCCCCACTTTATTTCTTTATTAAGTCCCATATTGGAGTACGTCTCACTGCAGCCCTAATTTTCTTCTTTTCTTTTGCCAATCAGTCTAAAGATATCCATGATCCAGCGCTGGTGTGGTATTTTGGAATGCCTTTGGGCCCCAGATGTCCCTGAAGTGCTCAGGATAGCATGCGCTGGAGCTCTGTGTGTGGCTGGAGCGCCACTCATGAGCCACACAATGAAAGAATACAGCACTCTGGTTCCCATTATGATCAGGTATTAAGGAAGTGAAAGCATGTCATCAGGTGATGCACTCTGATGAGCAAGACTTCAGAACACTGAATCTTCCCTCCTAGGTTGATCAACACAGGCCTTTACTTGCTGCAGGACCAAAGCCAGGAGGTGAGGATTAAAGCGGCTTGTTTCGCCTCCGTGCTCCACCATGCAAGAAGAGGCCAAAGCCAGAGGAATGTCTACCTTATGCAGGTCAATCAAGCTCTGCCATTCCTCTTGGATGTGCTGCTAGAGGAGTGCTGGGATGCTCCTGGCACACTGGAGGTGCTGATGTGTCACCTGCCTCAGTCTGACCTCAGATCTGTGCTGAGACATGCCTCGGTGGAGGGGTACGTTTCATCACTGAATCAATGCATTTGTACAAACGTAACCATATAACCATATTAACTGCGTGTGGCTTATTGCTCCCTCTCTCAGGTGTTCCAGTCTGTATGAGCAGGATGAGGCCAATGTGTTTGCAGAGCCCTCTGTGATGTCCGTGCATGTACTGCCTTACCTGCTACAGATGGCTGAAAAGTACTCTCAATCCTCTTCTCTGGCACGGAGCCTGAATTCATGGGCACAGGACAATGCTGCACAGGTGGTAGACGGCCTTGCAGTCTGCAAAGAAGTCCAGCCAGGTGCCACATTAGCATGCCAAACACCATATACATACTCTTGCATATTTGTGAATTTTCAATGTTATAATTCAATTCTTTATTCTTTCTATAGCTGAATCATTGACCCCCTTATGGCTGGCTCTCCTTGTGGACCCCCGTTTCCACAGCACCCTGTGTGGCCTGTTGACCAGGGCTGCCTTCCTCCTCCGACTACTGAAAACATCTAATTATATACAACACCTTTGTGATCCTTTATCCGTGAACACGCATTTACAGGACGTTTGTAGTCTACTCACTCAGAACGGTGTCCACTTTCCTTCTGCTTTGACAGCTGCTGTGGCTGGAGAGCTGCCACTACGACAGAGCGCTCAATGAGCAGAGCCTTTTTGGCTGATGTGGCTGTGGATAAAATTACCTGCAGACACTTGAAGAATGATGATGATGGCATACTCGTATAAGGCCCAAGGTTTGAATGAGTATTGCGGATCCTGATGCTGCAGTACAAGGTTATGTAAGAGCTGCTACCACTTCTGGGCATTATGATATTTGCTCTACAGAAAAGAGACCATCCAGGCTCTTCATGCCCACTGAACATATGCTTAAAAAAAAAAGAGAAGAAAAAGAAAACAGCTGCTCCTCCAAATCTCTAGAGGGATGTTAATGATACAATGCCTTTTAATAAAGTTTAATAACATTTTCTGAGGGTTGGTTCATTTCTTGTAGAGCTACAGTCACTAGAATAGCAACTCTGCCTTTGATCACCATAAACCGTTTCCCAGCTACAAGTTTGCTGTGTCTGAGCATCGACAGCAGTGAGGCTCAGAGTGATGCAGTGATGTAATGCAACAGCATCTGGAGAAATGATCTGCCTGCTACCCACCAGGGGAATACAGTGCATGCTTTATTGTTCCATTAGAGGCCTTCTGCCTGGATAAGTGTTCCCTTTCCAACCACATGAGGGCTGATGATTATGGACTTGAATGTGATCGAGAGCCGGCGGTTGCCCTGCAATAGACCGCACACTTGAGCAGTCTTACATCACTGCTTTTGTTTGAGATGGGCAGCTCTTGTTATTAGATAAACAAGGGACATCAAAGCGGGTGTACATGCTGTCATTGGACATGATTAGTAGTGCAGCATTATCAGTTTATTTGTATCTGAACCTACCTCTATATGTGCTTGCACTGTGCATATATGAAGCGCTGCACTTGTGTGCATCTAGGTTATGCAACAGTAATGACTATAAGCTTGTATTAATGGCTCGTAGATTAAACTTACGCAATGTGTCTTCTATGAGCCATGGCAAAATCCACACCTGAGTACTGTGAGATTAGCATGAGCCTCAAAAGAAACCGTGTGGGCCGTGTTGATACCGGCTCATTTTAAATAATGGAAGCAGGAGAACACAAGTGTGGGGGCCATATTTGGACAAACATAATCATTCTATCTAGAATCCTTTAAGAGTTTAAATAGTGCCTACAGCTTGCAGCTGCAGACAAAAACAAAACCATGCTTCCCTTCCTTAGTTTTAAACACACTTTACTTTCCTACTTTTTAATAATCTTGTTGTTTTAACTCTTGAAAGCTTTTTCACGTGCCTGAAAATAAAAGTGTACTTTTAATGAAAAGCTATTTTAATTGTGTTTTTTTGACTGAACGCTCCTTTATTCCCCTTAAACTTGAAAACAAAGTATGAGAAGTGAGTTTAAGGTCATGACGGTTGGAGATTTCCTCCTGGAGGCAAAGTGTGCATGAACCTGGAAAATGACCATCTGCTTCAAGAAAAGCCTCTGTCGGCCTTTGTGACTGACAGTCTCTGGGTTCTCAGTAAGCCAGTGCCCTTGCTAATGAAATGATTAACTATGGCAACGTGAAACAAGACCATGTATGCGAAGCCCCTTTTATGTGATGTGTAAATAAATACAGACGTGTATGCACTGCACTGTTTGGACGTCATGTTTTTCCACTGTTCTACCACAGGTACCCAGCTAATCTTTGCGTTTGCAGTGAGAAAATACCCACACTTAGTTTTGTTTTCTTTTTATAATGAATTAAATCTTATATGAAATCTGAAATGACAGCTTCTTGTATCTTGATTAAAAAAAAAAAAAAAGCTTATGCAGTTTATATAATCAAGAACTTTTTTAAGGGTGATACTTTGGAAAAATGTTAGTCATTAATATGATTAGTGCTGCTTACTATCATTTTCCAAAACCTTTAAATATTAGGCACAGGCATCTGGATTCTCAATGTGAATGGTCAACCTTACACAGCCTAAAGCTTCAGATCACTCAGATTTAGTAGTTTAATTGTTTAATTTATATGCATGAGCTGGAACATTTCAGGAGGTTTAGCCTTTTAACGTGAACATTTAGCGCAGCAGGTCTCTGTGGAGGAGAACAAAGATGAATGCAGACAATGCCAACATGTGTTTTCACAGATTTCTTTCATTTAATCTCCAACAAGGCATATTTATTATAATTTAGTCGATTTCAGATAGGGCTCAGACACGTTTCTGAAGGTAAGGAAGTCTTCCTCATCAGATTGGAGAAACTATGATCGAATGGTCATGTTGACTTTTTGATTCCTAACCACGATGGAGAGAAATTTCTTAGAAGAATTCTTTACAGCAGCTCATTTCTGGAGAAAGTCGTGCTGATAAAAAGTGCAAGTGTTTATGACATAGATAGTCTCAATGAGACAAAATGATTAGATCCAGAGAGGCCAGAGTGTACTGGAGCGTACGGCACACATGTTCACTGTTTGCTCTGGTGATTGCCTGAAAACTGAGTAAGCATATATTTGAAAAGTGGCTGAGTGAACATTGACTGAGTCACAGGTTGGCTGCCCTCTTTATTAGTCAGCCAACAATGGCACAGGCCTCCACTCTGCTTTGAGCATACAGCTCCCTGTGCACAGGAAGAGACAACTGGCAGCCCTGCTTTATTAGGTTCAGCAGAGTCAACTTCTGACAATATCTACCTAAAAAAGAACAAAACAAGGGGGGAGGGGAAAAAAAAGAAGGCCTCCTGGGGTGGAGAGGAAGCATGGGAAACAGGAAGAGGGAGTTTGGATAAATGCACCAAGTAGTTAGAGCCAGATAAGACCTTGCAGTTGGAGAGGGATTAAAAATGGAAATTTTTTTTTATTTTTTTCTCATGGAAATGGAAAAGTAGAGCAGCTATTTATAGGAAACCACAGAAAACGCTGTAAGTGTGGAAAATAGTCTTGGTTAAGGAACAGGATCGAGGCTTGATAGTTGGGGGGAAATAAGTTCTCCTCACAGCTTAAGCAAAACAATCTCTTATCAAGGCTGCACGTATTATTTTTCAGGGTATGCTCTTCATTGTGCATGTGTGTGTGTGTGCTTTGCATAGGAATCTGGTGAGGCTTTAGGACCTTGAGGTTTGCACTGCAAAGGACACCTCTTCCTCCTCCACCACCACCGCCTCCACCGCAGAAGGCTGTTTACGAAGTAAGCTGAGAGCTCGTCTTGACAAAAACAAGGGCTGGGACTGCAGCAAGAGGGGCAGTGTGTCTGAATCCAGCACAGGCTCGTCCTCCATCGGAAACACTTTGTATATATTGAAATATATATATATACATTTTTGGTGTAGAGGGAAAATGCTGTCTGTGAAATCAGCCCGTCAGCTCTGCAAAGTGTTTTTCTCTTTGCACGTTGTTTTCCTGAGCGTGGCTCTGGTGGAGAGCAGGGCATCAAATGGAGACCAAAAAGGTAAACTTGTGCTTTATAGACTGATTTTTATGTATGTGTGTGTCGAATTCCTCTTTCTTTTTTTGTTTTTCTAAAAGCTGTGCTCCGAGTGAATGTTTATATTATTTTTCTATCCTTTCGTTTTCTTTGCACAAATAAGTTCATGTCTTGCGTTCACTTGTTGTTTTGCTGTTTCGCTCAGACTGCGTGAGATCCCATGGTGTGGACTACAGAGGAGAACAACAGAACTCCTCCTCAGGTCTGAGCTGCCTAATCTGGACCAATACTACAAGGGACTATGATGTTACAATCCATCCAGATTCAGAAAAAGGTACAAAAATATATTAGATCTAATGCCCCCCTTAAAATGAAGTCAGATTTGAAATGTCACAGATGTTATTGGGCACAACAGTTTCCGTGCTGGATAACAAACAGCATGGAACATCTTGGCTGAAGTGCTGACATGGCAAAATCAGAGGAAAGGCTGTGAAATACAATAAAAGATGTGAATTTTCAGCATCTGTGCCTGTTGATGGTGTTAAGTGGCCTATTTTATGCACCAGTTGCTCTTTTCCTTTGTTTGTGCTCATACCAGGCCGTTCATTGTACTGTGATGAAGTAGTGTTAATGATTAATGAATCCACACAGTGGGGACAGACATGTAGAGATTGCCCTTTATTTCTACAAGGCATGGTATCAGACACATGCTATTTTTTTTATCATTCCTCCCGTAGGTGTTGGAGATCACAATTACTGCCGAAACCCAGACGCCTCTGAGAGGCCTTGGTGCTACATTGCTGGCCCAGATGGAGCAATTCAGAGAGAATCCTGTGCACTTGAGACATGCAAAGGTTGGTAAACCCTATACACAGCGGTAATTATTAATACTATACGAGTTGTATGCACAGTACAACTGCCATTTGCACAACAAATTCGACATTTGTAGAAACATGGCCAAAAATAAACTGCACTGTCTGGCCTTGCAGTAGAAATGGGTTTTTTTTGTTTTTTTGTTTGCTAATAATGATGTTTTCTAGCTTCTCAGCTTGAGGTAAAACTTATTAGTCAATGCAAAAAGTGTGCAGCCAAGTTGGAAACTCTTATCACTTAAAAAACAAAGTTTCCATCTAGCACATGTCTAAAACTTGTTCCAGTCTCATTGCAGATGGATCAGTGATGACTTGCTTTTAAGAGTGTAGTAGGTCAGCTGGGCGCTGTTAAGTTACTCTGAGGAATCTCGCGTGACCTTTGTCTCCGTCTCTTCTGGGGAGCCAACAAAAGTCATACAATAACAAAGCACCAGCGCACGCTCTCAAACTTCTGTTTGGGGAAAGCCGTTGACCACGCCCAGCACCGAGCTTATTGGCACAGAGGAGAGGTTTTTCCCACGGAGACAGCAGCTAATTGGCTGAATCAGTTTATGACTTCCTGCCCTTTAACTGGGGCAGAGTTGATAAACAAGTTCTGTGGAGGAAACGGGGAACAAAAGATTTAAAGAGCAGACGTTGTCATCTGTTGGAGTGGCAGTTGGCTGTGCTGGGCTTGTTTGTGTCTGGTACATTGGAAAAAAACAACCCAAAAGGCACGTGCTCGTCAGTCCCCCTGTTGATTTACATCCCAACAGTTTGTTGAGAGAAATCTCAGAGCTTTCGTCATGCCACAACATTACCGCTGTTTGCGCGTCAGCGGTAATGTTGTTGGACCAGCAGTAATTGGACACCACATGGTCCACTTCTGGTCAAATTGAAGTACCGCCACACACTAAAGAATAAAACTATATATTAGGTTTTAAAAGCATAAATACATATTCTTGGGTTAGGGTTGCCAAAGTGAACTACTTCATGTAAAAGTAGAGATAAAAGGTAGGAAATGGAAAAACTCCAGGTTCAGACCCAGAGTGTTTTACTACGCAGACATTCTGCTGTAGTTTTTGCAGGATGTTCATTGGAATTGCCTTTTCAAACATGCAATGACTTCACATTCTGGAATGGCAGCATATGTTTCTCCAAAACGACTGTTACTACTTTTACATTACACATCACTGTGCAATGTTTAGCATTAATATGCCTTCACAGATTAGCAAGCATCCTCAGTATACTAAAAAGTTTTTTTATGGCCAAAAAAAACAACCTATTACTTCTGTTATATGGCAAAACATGACTTGGGGAAAGACCACTAAAAGGTTGTTTTGCTGTATGTTTAGAACAATACTCTTCCATACCAGCAAAGACTGAATCCCTCAGCACAAAAGCAACCACTCCCTCCACAGAGAGCGCTCAGCCAGCCAAAGCTTCGCGGGGAGATGTTCCAGCTCTGCAGCCAGTGATGGGGATCAGCCAGCGAGTTCATACAGGACCAAAAAAGAAGAAGGACCTTGGCGCTATTGGTATGCTGTGCTTTTTTGTACTTTAAAAACATGTATGATGCTGGCATTGTGCACAAACCTGCAGCTTGAATACATTTTAATTAGAAATTACACAGTTTAGTTTTTAAAGGAGCTGAAAGTCTTTCTTATATATCTGTATCTTCTGTTTCAACCATTTTCCTCTTCTCCTTTTGTTTTTCAGGATATGTCCTTGCTATCATCATGATGGGGATTATAATCATCCTTGGAGTGGGCATCACATTGGGCTACTTCTATAAGAGGTGAGCATCTTACTCACAGCAAGCCAGCTGGTTCAGTATCAGAGGGATTTGTGTGCATGAGGATGTTCAGGATTGTCTGTTCATGGATGGTGAGCTACTTAGATGTGAGATAAAGCCAAAATGCGATCCTTCAGAGTTGCATCGTCCAGTTTAAACCGGCTTGTAGTGTTTTTGATAGCTTTGAAAGGTGGAGGAGGAATACCGGAATGATTCATTCACACGACATCACGTGTCATTGGCGTACTCTTAAGTTTAGGCCATCGACTATTAAACAGATTCCCTACCGATGGTCTCTGTTGTTCTTCTCAGAAGCAAGGCAGCAGTTTTATGAGCTTTCTCACAAAAACCACAACAGAACATGAGGGCAAACGTGGCATGAAATGAAATGCCTGCAGTTTATTTTAAGCAGGAGGGGCTGAATGGGACAGGAAGCGTACAGTTATGTAACGTGCAAAACGTTAGCCCCGATGTTACGAAAGAGGGGACTCGGGTTCCCTTTGGCAAACACAAAATGCCCTCCCGGAACTGTGTTGGGCTGTCCTATCTGATTAGCGCTGCCCCGTCCTCGTTTTCTATTATTAGGAAGTGATTACTAATAAGGAGGAGAAGCATATTATGTCAAAGGGTTTATAAGTGGCCTCAGCATACACTGGCAGCATCACCACCAGTAATGGGTTTGATGAGTGGGAGACATGCTTACATTCTTTGCAATTCGCTGTCCTTGACTGACTCTGCATTATCTTATGCCACCTAAAAGAAGAGCTGAGGAAAGATTTCACCCCAGACTTCTCTAGGCAAAGATTGCACACTATATCCCAGTGGAAACAGCCTGCAGTGGGAATAGATAGCTTATTGACAAGGAAACCAATCCCCTCGAGGCTTCCCTTCTACCCCAAACACCATCCATTTGGATTACCTCCAGGAGTGCACTGATTCATTTTGTAGCATTAAGTACAAGTAATCTTTTTTTTACATCTCGTGTATCGCTAACCCTCTGGTCCTGAAAAGAAATGGAAATTTGTGAGAAGTCTAAAGACTTTGTGGTGATATAAAGTGTTTCAAGGCAGAGCAAAGACAGCACAGGAGCAGGCAGATAGGCGTATATTGGCCTGTTTTGGCTTCAGATCAGCAGAAGGTCACCTCGTGCTGCTTCCCGTCGCTGCATTGCCTTGGAGTAGATAAACTCCCTGCCAGCTTGTGAGTTCTGGGTTCCTCTGGCCATCTGTCCCACTGCTGACAATGCAGCGCTTGGTGTAACAGGCTGTGTTATCTACGTACAGTATGCTCTCTGAAGACCCTTATCGTGAATATGCTGCCTCGGGTGACGCCCAGAAATACAGTGTGTAGGATCAGCGACAAGGCTTCTGACTGCATGCGAATGATAGATATTTTCATGATGCTGAAAACAAAACAAGACTTGACTGTGATTGGTTGTTTGCATGATAGCTAAGAGTTAAAAGGGAGAATGAACAAATGCTACTGTTAATTAACAAAAATCCATTTAGAAAAATCAGTTATTGCAGATTCATCTTTTGAGGGTTAACTATATATAAAGAGATATCATAACCGATCTATGTTTTGTGTTTGCCTTTAGGGGTCGGGACCTGAAGAAGCAGCACGAGCAGCGGGTCTATGAGCGTGAGATGCAGAGGATCACCCTGCCCCTGTCGGCTTTCTCCAATCCCACCTGTGAGCTTGTAGATGAAAACACCATTGTTATCACAGCAGAGCATGAGACCACTCCCGTGCAGGACGACGCGGATGGCGGAGACCCTCTCATGGCCCAGCAAGCCGGTACCCCTGGAGCATGAGCGGGCATCTAGTTCCTGATGATTTTTCTTTTCTTTTATGGACCAAAGCACTCCCATCTCCCTGTTTCTCCTTTCCACCTCCCTGAGTAATGTCTATTTTAAAGGAGCAGGGGGCAGTGTTGTCTCCGGAGACTTGAACTGAATGAAGCTTTGTCCTTTCTGTATTTGTTCTTAACACGTGAGGCACAAACAAGATAAGTTCACACACAGTGGACACAGCCTTAACAACTAGAAACCCATTACAGTGGATCTGTTGTTAATGAGCACGTCTGGAGGTCTTTAATGTTCATATCTGATACTTTTGATAGCCAAGAGAATAAGGGCTATTCTCTTAAATAACAATAAGAATATCAAGTCAGTGTTTATAATAATACGTAATGACACCAGTGTGTAAAGAGGTGTTGTTTGGAACGGGGAAAATGTTCATAACCTTTTGCTTTTCAAGGGAGGTTTGATTATGTGATGGATATCTGGTTTATTTTGATTTGTAGTGACCTGCTGGCTGTGCTGGCGGGGAGGCACAGACAAGAAACCTGTGCGCACAAAGACCGCTTTTTCTTGCGTGCACACTTGTGATACAGATGTGGTCCAAAAATAGTCTCCCTCTTGAGACAGGATGAGGGAGTGTGAGGTAAGACAGGCCCACTAAAGACAAGGGAAGGCCTATAACTCAAAAAACTGCCTTAGCATGATACTTCTGAATGTATTTCCTTTATAGTGTTCCTGGAGATTTGTTTTTCGTGTTCAGCCGACAGGTAAATTTGATTTGAAAACATCGATGGTGGTCCCGGGAAGACGTGAAAAAGAAGACTTGCTATTTTTTTTTTCACAGGTTAAGGAGTGACAGGAAATTTTCCAGAGTCTTCTCAGGATGAACGAGAGACAGTAGTTAGACGAAATAGCACTGCCGCAACACAGTAGTTAGACGAAATAGCACTGCTTGAGAATAATTAAAAACGTTAGACATCATCAAGATTTTGCAATGGTAGTTTTCACTGCGTTACTATGTTGTTTGTTATGATCCAATCACTCCAGAGCATCTTGTTTTGTGATTATTGCTGGATCCGTATCACTGGTAATGTTTAGTTACTGCTGCTCCCTTATTTTAAGTGTCTGTGCGCTGGCTGCGATCATTGTTTATAGTAGCAGTGTGTTTAAAATACTTTTGTTCAGCGTTTGGATTTAGAACTTGTATTTTTATGAATGCAGATTTTCACTGCCGAGACTGAAATAAATAAAAAAGCTAAAAGTACAACTTATAAGGTGTGTTGGACTCACTATATTCTTTCTTACATTTATTGCAATAAAGAAAACAATACAATAGAGCTGATTTGTTCAAAGGAAGGACGTTTTTATGCACTGGCTCCCCCTGCTGGCAGTTCTTAAACACAACACTGAGGCTTAGGTTTAGCTGACTGTTTATAGGACAAAATCAGTTAAACATCAGAAAACTTAAACTTTTGTGGATCCATTCCACCTGCTCTGGTACAAATGAAAAGGGACAACACGTGCACTGAAAGGGAACAATCTTGCAGGTGGTAACGGAATCTAAATCCTTTACGCGAGGAGCACAACAGGAGTCTTACAAAATGACCTCCAGCTGGCTGATGATGTGCATGTTTCTGACCAAACTGTCAGAAACAGACTCCATGAGGACCTGGTGTTCTTTAGTGGGACCTGTACTCACAGGTCAGCACCATGCACCTGGATTGGCAACTGTCATACAGGGAGTGCAGAATTATTAGGCAAGTTGTATTTTTGAGGAATAATTTTATTATTGATCAACAACCATGTTCTCAATGAACCCAAAAAACTCATTAATATCAAAGCTGAATGTTGTGAAGTAGTTTTTAGTTTGTTTTTAGTTTTAGCTATTTTAGGGGGATATCTGTGTGTGCAGGTGACTATTACTGTGCATAATTATTAGGCAACTTAACAAAAAACAAATATATACCCATTTCAATTATTTATTTTTACCAGTGAAACCAATATAACATCTCCACATTCACAAATATACATTTCTGACATTCAAAAACAAAACAAAAACAAATCAGCGACCAATATAGCCACCTTTCTTTGCAAGGACACTCAAAAGCCTGCCATCCATGGATTCTGTCAGTGTTTTGATCTGTTCACCATCAACATTGCGTGCAGCAGCAACCACAGCCTCCCAGACACTGTTCAGAGAGGTGTACTGTTTTCCCTCCTTGTAAATCTCACATTTGATGATGGACCACAGGTTCTCAATGGGGTTCAGATCAGGTGAACAAGGAGGCCATGTCATTAGTTTTTCTTCTTTTATACCCTTTCTTGCCAGCCACGCTGTGGAGTACTTGGACGCGTGTGATGGAGCATTGTCCTGCATGAAAATCATGTTTTTCTTGAAGGATGCAGACTTCTTCCTGTACCACTGCTTGAAGAAGGTGTCTTCCAGAAACTGGCAGTAGGACTGGGAGTTGAGCTTGACTCCATCCTCAACCCGAAAAGGCCCCACAAGCTCATCTTTGATGATACCAGCCCAAACCAGTACTCCACCTCCACCTTGCTGGCGTCTGAGTCGGACTGGAGCTCTCTGCCCTTTACCAATCCAGCCACGGGCCCATCAAGACTCACTCTCATTTCATCAGTCCATAAAACCTTAGAAAAACCAGTCTTGAGATATTTCTTGGCCCAGTCTTGACGTTTCAGCTTGTGTGTCTTGTTCAGTGGTGGTCGTCTTTCAGCCTTTCTTACCTTGGCCATGTCTCTGAGTATTGCACACCTTGTGCTTTTGGGCACTCCAGTGATGTTGCAGCTCTGAAATATGGCCAAACTGGTGGCAAGTGGCATCTTGGCAGCTGCACGCTTGACTTTTCTCAGTTCATGGGCAGTTATTTTGCGCCTTGGTTTTTCCACACGCTTCTTGCGACCCTGTTGACTATTTTGAATGAAACGCTTGATTGTTCGATGATCACGCTTCAGAAGCTTTGCAATTTTGAGACTGCTGCATCCCTCTGCAAGATATCTCACTATTTTTGACTTTTCTGAGCCTGTCAAGTCCTTCTTTTGACCCATTTTGCCAAAGGAAAGGACGTTGCCTAATAATTATGCACACCTGATATAGGGTGTTGATGTCATTAGACCACACCCCTTCTCATTACAGAGATGCACATCACCTAATATGCTTAATTGGTAGTAGGCTTTCGAGCCTATACAGCTTAGAGTAAGACAACATGCATGAAGAGGATGATGTGGACAAAATACTCATTTGCCTAATAATTCTGCACTCCCTGTACATCATCACGCAACAGCCATGAGTAGGAGTACCAGTGGCAGATCTTAAAACTAAAGACCTAAGTTGACAATAATGAGCTTATTAAACTACATTTCTGAGACAAAAAATAAATAAAATAAAATACTGATGGCCACCAGTATCCCTCAGCCCTAAGTAGATTCATGTATGGTAAATGAAAATCCCAGGAGACTGCCATCTTGAGTCACTGCATTCACAAGATTTTTAGATAACTTAACCTCTGACCTTGCCTTTGAGGTCACAGCTGCACCTATGCATGAATTTGAAAATCATACATCGCCTCATTCTCGAGTTGTTGCATTCACAAACTTAGGCGCCCCGTGTCATCGCTCTTCAGTGCGTTTGATGCCATGCACCTGAATAATGACAATTAAAAATGCAACTTTCAGAAGGTTTATTTATGAAACACTACATTAATATAAATAATAGTGGTTACAGCTGGTTGTCAGTACTCTGAATGATGATAGCAAAAAAGGCCAAAATGTCATTCGCTGACGAAATGTCTAAAATATACAAATCTAGAAGTCCCATTAAAAAAAGAAGAATAAAAACAAGACGTCAAATTAGTGCTACAATATGTACATACTTATATACAGTGGAGAAAATATCCAGTCCTGTACAAAGGCAGTTTTTTTCTTTTTCCAAACAGTCAGCTCTTGCATGATTATGTCCGACAATCATTATTAACAGTCCTAAACTGCAAAAGAGCTTTTGTCCCGTTTTTTTCCCTCCCCGACAGAAATAAAACATCTGCACGGTGTTCGTTCCACATTTTGGTAAAATAATTAAAATAATTAAGCTAGAAAGTACACAGATCCATGGTCAAAAATGAGATGAGTGATGCTTGGAATAAACATAATCTGAACATTTCTTTGCCATCATGTGTGAATTCTCAGCAGCAGCGGTGTGTTTTGCTTTCTTTGCTGCCCAAGGTCACACCTATTTTTTTTTTGTGTGTCCTGCCCTGTTTATTTAAACATGCCAATGAGCTAGACTGTCAAGGATCTTTGTTTTCTTTGCCACTGAAGTGAAGTGACTCCTCTGTTGGGCAAGGACCGATCTGTGCATTCCACGCACAGCAACAACAACTCCAGAGCCAAAAGAAACCCGACAGAAAATAAAACTGTCGTCACGTGGGAGCATAAAGAAAGAAAGAGTCTTTCCCTCTGCCAGGGAGGACGTTTTTCTTTTGTCTTTATACAGAGTGAACAATCTTCTTTGTAATGAGTGGCACAGGAGGAATTAGTAAACACTTGTAATTCTGAAATGTTTTTGCACTATCTTTGCAGTTCACTGGTATTCACAGGGTTAAAGTCCCAAAAACACAGATTGATCCAGCTACCTCAGGTTATCCAGTTTTAATACGGCTCGGGTTCAATACAACTTTCCTCTTTTTACACATCCACAGTGCAGCAGGTCAGAGGTGTAACTAAAGTAAATACAGACAGAACAGGCAGAAGTCCTAGGTGCCATTGTCTGTCGTGCTCGAGCAATCTGGAGAGGCTGCCACTGGGGTTAACGACTGATCGGAGCTCTGGTTTGGAGAGCCGTCTTTAGGCCAATAAAGTCGACTCAGGCTCTGATGCAGTTCATCCAGTTCGGCTGGCAGGGGGATTCCCAGCTCCTGATTGAGGGACAGAGCTGCAAACCAGTCCTCAAGCTTCTGAAAAGGTGGACTGAGGAATAAAAAAGGGAGAAAAAGGAATGGTCAACGAGGGCACAGAGAGGGGTTTGAGGCTAAAACCAGACTGACAAGGTTGAGAGAAAACATGAGGAAGCAATCTGGTAGCAGAGGCGTGTCTCTCAGCGAGCAGGTTGAGATGGCATCTGAAAGGGTTTTTGTTTCACTCCTCCTACAACCAGTTTCATTAAAAGGCCGCATACCGTCTCGAGTGAAGGCAGATACAGTTCTCATATGGCCACATCTCTTGACTCTTTCAGGTTATTAAGAACTTTACCTTACCGGTCAGCACCTCTGCAGAACATTAACTTTTCATAACAAGTTAAATGAAATCTGTAATACATTAAAACAAAAGCTGTGGCTCACCGGTTGTCTGGTGTGAGGTCACAGCAGGCTACAGCCAAAGGAAAGAAGGCTGGTGTGCAGTCTTCAGGGAGAAACTTCTCCACAAACTTGCCAACATTTAGGCCAAAGTCCAAAGTCCTGGGGAGGCACTCAGGGTCCGCGTAGACTTGTCCAATGATCTGAATCACAGTAAGGAGGATAAACAGTAGGCAGTCAATTAAACAGATAGGGATGTGCATACAATGCTTTCACACATAAATGCATCAGTGCTTACTTTGAAAGGCTTAATTGCATGCAAGGTCTGTCATCTAACCCCAAAATGTGCTCGTTAAGCCATTACTTTGAGTAAACTGAGTAAAAATCAGCGTCTTACCTCGCAGAGAACAATTCCAAAGGAGAAAATGTCCACCTTCTCATCGTAACGTTTACCTGAAATAACAGATAAATAAATGTAATTACAAAATGGGTACAAATCAAGCTC